TCCATTGCCTCTGCCTCGATCTAGTTCCCGTTGTGGCGGCAGTCAGGCGGGGGCTACTTCAGGCAGTAGCACTGGCGGTCTGAGGGTAACAGTGATGGCAAACCCTCCAGGGAACCAACCCTCGGGGGACCATCACTCCTCTTGCACTCTGCAACCAGTTGAGCTGCCAAAGGAACATGTTGGGCCCTCTACAAGGAGCGTACCAGCAGTATCCTTCGGCGCTCCTCCTGACAATCAGATATCGAGAGGGAGAGCCAGAGCTTTTTGGAGAGGAAGATTCGGCTGCGCTGCTGCCCTCTGGGACTGTAGCAATGCCTGAATCAGATCTGGAAATGACGGCTATGCACGGGCCGCCGTGAGGGTAGGGTAGGCCCTCAAGGTTGGACGATTGGCTCTTCGGGGTGGCCCGCGCTGGTTCTCAGCACCCCGCCCCCGTGCCATTCTTCCCGGAGGTGCATGAGGGGGCTTACCAGGTCGTGGAAGGCACCTTCTTCTGCCGGAAACCGACCTGCTAACTCCTCCTCCCTCACCCCTCTCGACGGTGGTGCAGCAAGGGGGTATACGGGGGTCCCCCCGGTGGAGCGGTCAGTTGCGATGTAGTTGTGTCCTAATACCGCCTCCACCCTGCAGGGCAAACCGTGCCTCTCCTCCAGGGTCTGTAGGTACTTGTCTGGTCTGTCCGGCGATGCTTATGTGGCCTGTGGAGAAGCTGCCTCCGCCTTACACGCTAAATCTCGGAGGGATCTGCACGAGGATGGTCACGATATGGAAGTTCTGAGAGATCTCCGAACCGCAACTGACCTCAAGATCCGAGCGACGAAGGTCACTGCAAGTTCTCTGGGTCGTGTGATGTCCACACTTGTGGTCCAGGAGCATCACCTCTAGCTGTGTCTGGTCAACATGAGGGACGCCGACAAGTTCGGTTCCTCAAGGTCCCTGTGTCCCAGACCGGCCTCTTCGGCGACGCAGTCGAGAACATGGCCCAGCAGTTCTCGGCTGCACAGGAGCAGACTGAGACGATCCGACATGTCCTGCCCCAGCGGGCAGATGCTGCCTCCACCCGTCCGCAGCACCCCAGCCTGCTCGTCGCCGAAGGCGGCCCCCTGCGTCAACCCCCGCTCCCGCGCCGCATCTGCAGCAGCCTTGAGCAAGCGGCACCGTGGAACTAGGAGTAGGCAGGCCGCCCCGCCCATCCAGGCCCCCGTCAAACCTGGTGGTGAACAGAAAAGCAAGAGGCCATGGGACGGGCGACCCAGAGACAGAGGGAACTGCTCTTTGAGGGATGGTGAATGCACCTCTCCCTTCCCCGGAGGAGGGCTGGGTGGAGAATCTGGTTTCCAAAAATCTCGACAAGAGAGCGGTTTTCTCTGTTTCTGGATCCCAAGAGGGCATGGAGAGTCGTGGACGGACCAACACCGGGCCACACTCATCCTCCTCTCTGCACCCTCGCTGCCCCACCACGGGTAATTCGGTGGTCCCGCTGGTCCAGCTTGTACGGTGTCTGGGTGCCTGGCTACCCAAACCGTCCCGCTGGCTCCTGCGGACCATCAGACTCGGTTATGTTATTCAGTTCGTCCGGTACAGATCAGTACAAGGTCAAGGTCCTGCCCTTCGGGCTATCCCTGTCGCCCCGTGTCTTCACGAAAGTTGCGGAGGCAGCCCTTGTTCCCCTGAGAGAGCAGGGCGTTCACATTCTCAACTACCTCAACGACTGGCTCATACTAGCTCAGTCTCAGGATCAGTTGTGCGAACACAAGTATTTGGTGCTCTCGCAGCTCAGTCAGTTGGGCCTTCGCGTCAACTGGGAAAAGAGCAAACTCTTCTCAACACAGAGGATCTCTTTTCTCAGCGAGGAGTTGGATTCAATCGAACAGACAGCATGCCTCACGCAGGAATGTGCTCAGTCGGTGTTGAACCGCCTGAATACATTCAAGACCTTGCGTTTCTCCGGGCAGGAGTGCCCCTTGAACAGGTCTCCAGGCATGCTGTGGTTTACACGGATGCCTCTGCCACCGGCTGAGGGGCCACGTACGATGGGCATGCAGTGTTGGGGGTTTGGACGTGCCCCCAACTGCACTGGCATGTCAACTGTCTACAGTTGCTAGCAGTACACCTTGCCTCGAACCGTCTCAGAAGGTGCATACGATGGAAGCACGTGCTGGTCCGAACGGACAACACTGCGACCGTTGTGTACATCAACTGACAAGGTGGTCTACGATCTCGTCGCATGTCGCAACTCGCCCGCCACCTCCTCCTCTGGAGTCAGAAGCATCTGAGGTCGCTTCGTGCCATTCACATTCCGGGTCTGCTTAACTGTGCAGCCGACAAGCTGTCACGAGCTGCGCTCCCCGGAGAGTGGAGACTCCATTCCCAGATGGTCCAGCCTCTCACTGCCAGTTGTTTTACTCCCTTACCTAGGGAACATTCGGCACGGATGCACTGGCACACAGCTGGCCGCGGGGCCTGCACAAGTATGCGTTTCCCCCAGTGAGCCTTCTCGCACAGACACTGTGCAAGATCAGGGAGGATGAGGAGCAGGTCCTGCTTGTGGCGCCCCACTGGCCCACTCGGGCCTGGTTCCCGGAACTAATGCTCCTTTTGACAGCCCCTCCCTGGCAGATTCCAGGAAGGATCTACTGACTCAGAGATGGGGCACCCTTTGGCACCCGCGTCCAGACCTCTGGAAACTTCACGACTGGTCCCTGGATGGGACGCGGAGGTTCTCGGTGGCCTACCCCAAGAGGTAGTAGACACCATCACTTCGGCAAGAGCACCGTCTACAAGACACACTTATGCCTTAAAGTGGAACCTGTTTGTCGAGTGGTGTTCTTCTCACCGAGAGGACCCCCGAAGATGCCTGATCAGAGTCGTGCTGTCCTTTTTTGCAGCAAGGTTTAGAGTGAAGGCTGTCTCCCTCCACCCTTAGAAGTCTATGTGGCTGCTATTGCTGTGTACCACGACCCCGTGGAAGGCAAGTCGGTAGGGAGGCATGACTTGGTCGTCAGGTTCCTTAGGGGGTTGAGAAGGCTAAATCCCCCCCTGCCCCCCTCTATACACTCTTGGGACCTGACTCTTGTGCTCAAAACACTACAGCAGGGCCCATTTGAGCCTTTGCAGTCAGTCGAGCTAAAGTTTCTTTCAATGAAAACTCTGTTCCTGACTGCATTGGCCTCCATCAAGAGGGTAGAGGACCTGTACGCATTTTCGGTCGATGAATTGTGCCTAGAGTTTTGGCCGGCTGACTCCCAGGTAATCCTGAGGCCCCGGCCCGGCTACGTGCCCAAGGTTCCTACTACCCCCTTCAGGATAAGGTTAAATCCTCCCCGGCCCCCCTCTATACCCTCTTGGGACCTGTCTCTAGTGCTCAAAGCACTACAGCAGGACCCATTTGAGCCTTTGCAGTCAGTTGAGCTAAAGTTTCTTTTTTAATGAAAACTCTGTTCCTGCTTGCACTGGCCTCCATCAAGAGGGTAGGGGACCTGCATGCATTTTCGGTCAACGATTCGTGTCTAGAGTTTGGGCCGGCTAACTCCCAGGTAATCCTGAGGCCCCGGCCCGGCTATGTGCCCAAGGTTCCTACTACCCCTTTCAGGGATCAGGTAGTGAACCTGCAAGCGCTGCCCCCGGAGGAGGCAGACCTAGCCCTAGCTTAGCTTTGCTTTGCTTTGACCCGTCCGAGCCTTGAGATGGTGCGTAGACCGGACTAGAAGTGTTGCATCCTCCTGGGCGCTGGCTCGTGGCGCCTCGCTCACAGATATTTGTAGAGCTGCGGCCAGGGCGACCCCAAACACATTCGCTAGATTCTATAGCCTTTGTGTGGAGCCCTCGCAGCTCCTGTGTTCTCACCTCAAACGGGTAGAGGCACTGAGAGGCCCCGGTTTAGTGTCGGCTTGCTAAAACTGCTCCAAAGTGTCCGTACTGTAGACCCTGTCGAGCTCCTCCATCCCCTCGGCAGCCAGACGTGGCGGAATGTTCAGCGCCAGGCCCTCACTCGATGAATCCGTGAGAACCGGTAGAGGGCTGGGTTCCATATGTAGAGACCTAAGTGGATCCCATATGTGTAAAGTCCATGGTATAGCCTCAGAGCACGTGTTTCCCCGGCAGACTTCTGCCATTTCCAAGAGGGTTATAATCACCTCTAATCTTCCATATGCACCTAAACAGTTGTTCATATGTGTAAGTGCTTCCGAAACCTCCTTCGGGAAGGACGGGGCTTCCGCAACATTCCTGTTCCAAGTGGTACGGATACGTTTTCCCAGTGTTATCCAATCTCACTGAGTGGGTAGTGCTACGACAACACTGACTGGCCTTCTTGTTGTGAGCCCCGGCCTTCACCGAAAAGGGGGCGCAGGAGGCTCGCATAGGACACTGGAAGGGGCAGCATCCATGGCGTTTTGGTAGGGATCCCAATTCGTCGGTCATTACCGAAGTGACATCGAGAGTGACCGACTGAAAGGGAACGAGGGTTACATACGTAACCGAGACATTATCTAAAAAGATGAGAGATACTTTTTTTGGAAAAAATAAACTCTCTTTAAAAAAACTAAAAAATGAATGCTTATTTTACTGAAATTCTACTGGTATATAACTTGCATACTAATTTGGAACACAGTGTATGTAACCATGTAACCTGTAACCATGATAGTTGGAATGTACCCCTAGTCCTAACTTTGTGGATTTGGGCTTCATTGAGAATCATATTTCTGTCTTAGATGCATTCTTATAAACTTGAGTAAATATGAGACATCTTGAAACAAAATATATAAAAATATTATTCATATTAGTTTTATCTCACTCATTTCTCTTTGTCCAGAGGACAACCTAAGGGCAACATCACAGTCCTCAAGTACTAAATTGTGTTCTCTATCAAGTGATCAGCATGATCACCTTGAAACTTCGAAACAATGATTTACAACTAGCTCTCACACATTTACCTTACATAAAGTTCTTATGTGCATTCAAGTTAATCATGTGCATGCAAAGGTAAAAGAAATCTGCACCTGAGGAAAAGCTCGAAGTGTTTCACTAGTGCCCTCAGGTTCTTTTCTGGTATGTGCATCTTCCTCAAGATTTCTGGAAGTTTAACTAAAAAAAATAAATAAATAAATAAAATAAAGGCTTAAAAATGTAAGTATAATTCCTTTAATTTATGACATTTTTAAACATATACAAGAAGCTGATATTCACCAAATAGCCGAAGCAGGTGCTGAGCGCCATAGAGGTAAGAAGGAGGGGGAAGCTGGTCACTCTGAGGGTAGTTTTCTGGTGTCAGTCTCCAGCTCAGAACCTCAAGACAATCACATAGGGGTGGACCAATTTAATGAGCTATTTTTTAAATTAGGTTATAAGCATATAAGCAGTATTGCACCAGAGCATGTTAAAGGGGTCATATGATGCTTTTTTAAAGATCATTATTTTGTGTATTTGGTGTAACAGAATATGTTGACATGCTTTAATGTTCAAAAAACACATTATTTTTCAAATACTGTACATTATTGTAGGTCCTCTATGCCCCGCCTCTCTCAAACGCTTCATTTTCTACAAAGTCCCTCCTTCCGACAAGTGCAGTCTGCTCTGATTGGCCAGCTGACCCAGTGCATTGTGATTGGCCGAACACCGCAAGCACTCGTCGGAAATGTAACGCCCCTTACCATAATCGCGAGCTTCATCTTTCAAAATAAATGTAAAGACAGAGCCCGAAAGGGGAACAGAGTCGCGTGACAGACACAGTGATGAAGCTGGTATGTGTTTGTGATGTGACCCGCTCTCCCTCTCTCTCTCTCTCTCTCTCTCTCTCTCAATTCAATTCAATTAATATTGCTTATTGGCATGACATATTTGGCTACATATTGCCAAAGCATTGTACATAGCAGAACAAAAATCTGTAATGACTGTAGATCAAGGTTAAGTTGAGACTGTGACAAATACACGTCCTTAAGAGACTCACTGTACAGTCAAATACAGCAGAACATTCCTGAGTTCCAGTCGCTCCATGAAAACCACAAATTAAGAATATTACTTGGTGAAGGACCTACTTCCTCTTTGGTAGCACATTATATTTATAAATGCCACAAACTAAGAGTTAAAGAGTGAACACATCTGCATTAGTAGTACCATCAATGTTTATATAAATATATATGGATGTATTTTACGTGCATATATATTTATATAAACATTGATGGTACTACTAATGCAGATGTGTTCACTCTTTAACTCTTAGTTTGAGGCATTTATAAATATAATGTGCTACCGAAGAGGAAGTAGGTCCTTCACCAAGTAATATTCTTAATTTGTGGTTTTCATTTTCATGGAGCGACTGGAACTCAGGAGTGTTCTGCTGTATTTGACTGTACAGTGAGTCTCTTAAGGACGTGTATTTGTCACAGTGGAGGAAGTGCTCCTCCGTCTCAACTGATCCTGATCTACATTCAGTACAGAATCGCTCTTCTTTAGGTAACCACGTGTTTTTATGTCGTCCTCTCTCTATGGCCAGCTGGTGGTCACTCAGTCTGTACTTGGTCAGTAAATGTCTGTGTGTTATATTCCTGACTGAGACCAGATAGTCAGCCAGACTGTACTCTCTGTTGAGTTTCAGATAACATTGGAGACGACTTTGGTCTTTGGTTTGTTCTTTCCAATGCTGTATGTATGTCTCCTTCTCTTCATTCATAATTTCTTTGATTCTCCCATGTTTTTCAGGGTTGGTGATATCGAGTGCTTTGTTAGTCAGATCTGACACCATTACACAAAGATGACTTTTTTGAGCACTCCTTTTTTGTGTTTTTAGTGCTTTAAAATGAAGAGAATCCTCCGAACTAGAGTTTAAGTGGATCCAGAACTTAAGAACTCTTTTTTTAATGATTAGATTTAGGGGGAGACGGCCTAACTCGGCTCTGCAGGCGTTATTAGGTGTGTTTCTGTGCACATGAAGGATGCTTCTGCAGAACTCTACATGCAGAGCTTCTAAAGGGTGTTTGTGCCAGTCCTTATGACTGGAGTTACTCGCTGGGCCCCAGATCTCGCTTCCATACAGGGCAATAGGCAGTATGACACTATCAAAAATCTTTGTCCAAATTCTGATGGGGATGTTTATTTTGAATAATTTCATTCGTATGGCATGCAGTGCCCTGCGGGCTTTTGTAAGTAATGTTTTAATTGCCAATTTGAAATTTCCAGTGGGAGTTAAAACCAGACCAAGATAATTATATTGTAAAGCATGTTGAAGTGTGGTGTTGTTTAAAGTAAATA